GACCAAGTTGAATTTATAATTGGACATATATATTATGTTAAATTGTCATGTATGTTACCTATTGCAACCTAATTTTATTATATTTCATGGATGAATATCTTTTTTTTACATGCATATACATGTATGTATAGTATTAGTAAAATATTTATTGTATGTACTAGTTATTAAGTACAATCAAGTACTTAAGATATACTTAGTTGTTTCATTAAACCACATTTATTTGGGTTTATATTCTTGTTTCATTGAAGCAAGTTATGTTTATTATTCATGATTATACACTCGGGCCTTCTTAGAAAATTAGATACACTAGAACTTTTTTCAATTGAGATTTACCATATTTGTTAGCTCATTTGTTGTTTAATCTTTGATACAATCACCACGTACGGTAGAGTACCACGTACCGATTGTACCGTACCGAAAATAATGGTATACCAAACATTGGTATACCGAACATTTTGGTACGGTAACGGTATGAAATTTTCAATACCACAATGTACGGTAGGTACACGGTATCGAGCCAAATGTTTGGCAACCGTACCGAATCCACCCCTAATTTTAACCATTGATTTAATTGAAATTGTTTCATAAAACGACGTCGTTTCGTCGTAAATTTGCTATCCTTATTTGTCATCCATATCTAACCGATTATATATTGATTATCTATGAAACTAATTAATCACATGTTTTATTCATCTATTGGATCATGTAAATGATTAACTAATTATAACATTTCATGATTGAAAACAATGTCATGCATCCTTCTTATTTGATCGTCGTCGTTTCATCATAATTTTTTCATCTTTTTTGTGAAACCGTGTCGCTTTCCTTGCGCATTTTATGCGCTATAATAGAGGGATTTTTTCAGTGTGTGTATCTGTGTGTCAGTGTGTGTGAGAGTGAGGAAAATGAATACGAGGTTTTTGTGAAATAAGCGAAACAACGGTCGCTTTCAGTGCGTGGTATTTCAACCGATCGAATTTCCTGCTTTTACAACACGTGTGGGTTTAGGAGGTGTGTCTTTTTCTGCGCTACGATGATTTTAAAGTACGTACTTTTGTCGCTTAAAAAGTGATTTATTGTGTCGATTAAAGATAGATGACATTAGTTGATCGAGTTTGCAATTTTCTCCCGTGTTTTCGATATTTGAATTTCCATACTTTATGCTCATTAAATTCATCCTTATTTCAATTTTTTTCTCGTTCTTGATTGCAGGTCGACTACAACATCAACAAGCGCGACTCAACGAGCTCCAAGCAGGGCCCACGAGCAAGAACCTCATCTACCGAGCGAGGTTCTAGAAGAAATCTTCAACCGTCTGTCGTTGAAGGACAACATCCGAGCTTCCGTCGTCTGCAAGAGCTGGCAATCTCCAGCAATCTCCGTTCGAAAGGCAAACACCCCACCATGGCTAATGTCGTACCCGAAATCCGGAGACTTGTTCGAGTTCTACAACCCTACGGAACGCAAGAACTACTACCTCGACTTACCCGAAATGCGAGGCACGAGGATCTGCTACGTGAAGGACAGCTGGCTCCTCCTCTACAAGCCAAGAACTCTTCGACTATTCTTCTTCTGCCCCTACACTCTCGAAAAGATCAAAATGCCGAAACTTCAACTATCCGATCACATAGTGGCGTTTTCCGCACCTCCGACGAATCCTGATTGTACCCTTTGCATGGTTAGGCATGTCGAGCGTGAGGCTGTTGCTATTAGCACGTGTCGAATGGGAGAAAACCAGTGGACCACACTCACCTACGAATGCGACCCTCCGTTTCATAGCTCGATGTGGAACAAGCTTGTTTTCTGCGACGGCATTTTCTACTGCATGAGCCTGACAGGCTTGCTAGGGTTTTACGATCCGATAGAGAGGACTTGGAATATTTCTACGGTGCCGCCACCTCATTGCACCGATTGCCTCCACCTCGAGAATCGGTGGAGGAGCAAGTTCATGGCGGAGTACGAGGGGGATATATACGTTACATGCACATGCGCTTTGGCGGAGCCGTTTGTGTATAAGTTGGACTGGGTGAAAGGGGTTTGGGATGAGTTGGTTTCTTTGGATGGGAGGACTATCTTCGCGAACTATGTGTCTTCGTGTGTGAGGAGTGAACTTGTCGGGAAATTGGTGGGGTCCGTTTATTTTCCGAAGGTTCTGTTTTATGGGAAGCGGTGCATTACGTATAGGCCCGAGGGTGACAGGTACTCCCCGAAAGACGATGTTTACGATTGGACGGAGATGGAGGGTTTTCGGTCTGCGTGGATTGAAGCACCGAAGAATGTCGATAAGTTTCTTGAAGGTGCCGGATGCAAAGGTAAGCTAAGAAAGAGTACTCTTCATTAATAATGATTTTAATTTGGGAAGTCATATTTAATTTAATCAATTAATGAACTTCTTTGTTATATATTTTGTGTTGGTGTTGTTTCTAATTTTGCATCTTGTTGTTTTACGTTCTGACTTTTGCATGCACTAATGTTGAACTATTGTGACACTATTGGGGATGTGCATTTTTTTCTCTCTCTCTTTTTTTTTTTTTTGGTTTTTGTTCCATTCAATTAGTCTTGTTGTTGTTGCTGCTGATATTAATTATGTGCATGTTTTTGCTAATTAATTTGGTAGTATTAGTTTTTATGGACGTACGTAGTATAAGATGCATTGTGATTTAGTTAAAAATTTGGTAATATTTTTATTTTTTTTATTTTATTATTCCGAGCAGGGAAGAAGAAACGACAGTGATCGAAGACGACGACGAAGATGAAACATTACGAGAAGATAAGTCGTCGGAAACGGAAGTTGATGCTGCCACAATGCCAATCAGGGAGGCGTAGTAAGGGTTGAAAAAACTCAAGTCTTTTTAATTATATATATATATATATATATATATATATATATATATATATATATATATATATATGGGAGAGATAAACATTTAAAGTGGTTTTTTTTTTCTTATGCCGTAAAATAATGTTATACAAACAAATTAAATAGGTATTATAGTTAAAAAATAATAACAATAATTGAAAATGTGTATTCAGTATTCATAGCTCAACCCAGACCAATATATATATATATATAATGTTTATTTGTAGTTTAATGGTGGATTTCCATCATCCTTAATAAGATTCGATTATTTTATAGATTATCCAATTAATAACTGCCAGCTTATAATAAACATATGGAAAAGTAAATAATAAAAATAGACGTGGAATTATCACGTGGGCGTCATACAGCGTGGTTTGTTTGATGCTATACCGTACTCGGTGAAATACATCGAGTGATTATTAACCGTTGATTTGCACACAATCAGATGTAGCATCTCAAAAACCATAAATCGTTCATTCTTTTTGTGAAATCATAGCTCTTTCCTTGTGCATTTTCGGCGCTAAATTAGAGGGAGGTTTTCGTAATTATGTCTCTTAAATAGTGATTTGCTTATTTCGTTTGTCGGTTAATGAAAGATGAATTCGATTTGAGTTTGCAATTTTCATCTATGTTGCACAATTTGGATTACCATAGTTTTATACATTCTATTCTTTATTTCTTCTTTCTATATTGTGATTTTTTTTCTTTATTCTAATTTACAATCTGATCTTAATTCCTAAAAAAATCCAAATTCCAATATCAGTTTTTATTCTTAAATGATAAATACAGACAACTTATAGTAAACACATGCATGATATTTTTTATTTCACTCTATCCATTTATTATCTATTTAACTTTAGCATTCTAAATATAAACCCTACAATTTCACTCTTATACTTAAATTTATAACATTTTGTGTCGTTGAAATTCGAAATTTAAATTAGTTATTATCGTTACAGAAATAATACTTGAATTGCGCCTTGATCTCAGAGAAATTTGAAAATGTGTTAATGAGTATTACGGGTGGAAATTGGAACGAAATTTTCGATTTCCGCAGATTCCGATAAAAAAAAAATCTGATTTTGGAACAATAATTTTCAATATGAATTATGAAATTCCGGCTTCTAATTTCTGATCCGATTTAAGTCCTGAAAATAATTCCGAATATAACACTTTAAATACGTATATTACTATGTATTTGATATTTCAGGTGAGCAAATACTGGAAATTTCCGAACCCCGTCCATTTGGATCCGAAATTTTGCGATTTTGGAATAAGTTTTTTTGTTCCAATTTCCGAATTTTCAGTTTTCGATCTTTTCGGAATGGAATTGGAACTAGTTTTTCATTTCCAAAAAAATTGATACTTTCCCGAAAATACTAATTACAATCCAATCCATCCAACTTACACCCTTAAATAGTATTCATAACTCAACCCAGACCAATTTATAATGTGTATTTACTTAAGTATTTATAGTCTGATTCATTAGTGGCTAAGCCAATTGAGCCCAAGTATGCGGCCCAGCTCCCAAGGATTATTTTTTTAATTATTTGCATCTCGTGCTTTATTTTATAATATTATTTTAATCTATATAATATTATAAGAGTTAATTGCAAAAACCACCCTTGTGAAATCTCTAATTGTCAAATAACCCCCTGTCAAAAAAAATTCACTCATATCCCCTGTGTAACATGTTTTGAAGCACACTGTACCCATTGTCATTTTAATCTTTGACCAAGCGTAAAAAGACGAGAATGTCCCCGGGCTTTATTGCAATTAGTAAATCATATTATTGTTTATAAATTTTTTAATAGTTTTTCACTTTTAAACAAAAAAATCAAAATATAATAATAATAATAATAATAATAATAATAATAATAATAATAATAATAATAATAATAATAATAATAATAATAATAATAATAATAATAATAATAATAATAATAATAATAATAATAATAATAATAATAATAATAGCTCGACAAAAAATGCCTTCCGACGCCGATGACCTCAATTTCTTTCATATACAAATGGACAGAAGACATTGAACTCAAATTATGACTCGAATATACAGAAAACAACCCAACAAGATTAATCATACGAGCTGTCAAAATTGACAGCTTCAACTCCCTTATTCCTCCGTTCAAAAGTCTATAGGACTCGATCATATGAAACGAGATTCAACATATATATAATTGTCATATTCCAGAAAATCTATGATATTTGAGAAGAAACGTTTTTAAAATTCGAGTTCCAAAGCTCCCAAATTGTGTTCCGAAAATCAGAGTAACAACAAGTTTTATTTTTGAAAAACTTTGAAGCTATTGTAGTGTTAAAATCAGTTTCAACAAGGGTTCTAAAATTGGGGAAAATCAAAATTGGGGATGTTTGGTTATGTTTCTAATGGGATTTTCTAGTTTTCAAAATTTCTGATGGAAAAAGTAGATTATTGGTTTTTGTGTAGAAAATGAGAATATGTTTGGATGAAAAGATGTTTTTAGTTTTATATAGGTTTAGAAATGAGAATATGTTTGGTTGTGTTGTGTTTTCTTTACGAAAGTACGTGCAATAATAATAATAATAATAATAATAAATATAATAATAATAATAATAATAATAATAATTATTATAATAATAATAAT